CCCGGGTGCTGGCCGCTGCTCTCGTCCGAGGAGCCGTGCCTGTCTGCAGCGGTTGGCACCTTGATCCGCATTTTTATCTCCTCCTGCTTGGAGGGGAGCGGCCTCTCCCCACCTCCACCTGCCACCGGGATCCTCAGCTTCAGAGCTGAGGCTTTGTCACTTTTTTCAGGGCCAGGAGGGCGCTCGGGGTTCTCCGAGCCGCCAATGGGGATTTTGAGGATGATTGGAGAGGGGTTGCTGTCCTGCTGGACTTCCCTTTCCCGCTGCTGCTGGACCAGGAGATTCTGCGCAGCATAGGCATACTGAGACCGCACGTTGGCCTCCATGTTCTCCAGCTGCCGCTTCTGTGCCGCCAGCTCCTCGGCGTGCTTGGCCCGGTACTCCTTGAGCGACACTTTGGCCGACGGGGCGTTCTTGCCACTCTGCTTCTGATAACCAGCGCCATCTTGCTGTAAAGGATGCTCAGCAGCCGATGAGCTTTCGTTAGTCCTGTGACTCTGGGCAGCCTCCAGCTTGGGTGGAGGATGCTGGGACAGCCAGTGCTCAGGCTGGGACATATCCGCACCGCTCTGGTTGCTGGGCGAGTCAGCCGTGGCCGGCAGAGAAGGCCCTGCTCCAGCGGTCGAGGACGTTGACATGCTCATTAACCCAGCAATGTTCATATCCGAACTATTGTTCCTGGAAATCATGTTGAGGATTGTCTGCTCCGACAGGCTCTCATCTTCACCGTGGTCATCAGCCTTTGACTTCTTGGCTGCTTGAGAGGCCTGGAATAAAAGCAGCGACCCGTCACTTACTTTGGGCTGTCACTAGAGCTGGTTTGATGCAAACAGCTCACCCGGTACAGTGCAAGCTCTCAGTTAAAGACAGATCCACTTTGCCCCCACCTCTCCTTGTGGGAAAAGACCCAAGCACTGCAAGTGGGGTTGCTCGAGCAGTTGAAAAACCAAGGTCTCTACAGAGTTAACTCAGAACAGATGAACTCAAGCGCTCAAGCAACATTTTGCAGACGCACAGCGTTCAGATTTCCCCCCACACATGCCCTTCAGACACTGTCTTGCATTGTAATACCGGAGATGCCACACAGCCTCGTGCACGCAGAAGAAATCGGAGCCTGTGTTCTCCTGCAAGCACCCGCGGTCCAAAGCAGATTCTTACCCGCCAGTTCCGGATGCGTTTAAGCCGGTTGGGAGTTTTCTCAAGGATCTGCAGGAATTCATGAGTCAGTTCTGCAGAGGAAACACAAACCCAGGCAAGAGGGTCAGAGGCGGGCAGACCAGCACTAATCCATCAGGGCAACCCCCTACTTACTGATGAGTGGAGCTACTGAGGAGATGGAGCTACTCCAGGAGAGGAAATACTGAGAACTAGTATCACTGACCACATTTAAACTCATCTCACTGTGCGCCTTTTGCCATCTCTGTTGTACCATAGAAGCTGCTGCTGCACTGGAAACCTTGGCAAGACCTGAAGTCCTGGAGTCCGTGAACTGGCCGGTGGCCGTGTTTGAACGGCAGACCCAGGAACAGAGATGCCAAAATAATGTAAGAGCCTTTGGGGGGGAACCTCGCTCCAAAACTTACCATCTAAGAGCTCCAGAGTTACAGTGCCATCAACGTATTCCCACCAGTGCTTCCCGTCCGTGGAGACTGGGATCTCCCAGTTGGACCACTTACAAGCCAGGTGGATACAGACGCAGGCCACAACGGGAGGGGTGTACTGCAGGCTGAAGGTGGTCAGGTGCAGGCTGACGTCACCAGCAGGGAGAGAGAAACAGAAAGCCATGAACTCCCAAGCCTGAACTTCAGCACTCACAATCGCCCACTGAACAGACGCTGCGCAAGAGGTGGACATGGTGGGGAAGTCCCTGCCATTCCTCCCCCAGTACAACCCTACTGTTACGGGCGTCTCTATCCCGCTCCACCGATTTGCTTGTTCCTTCCCCGTTCTGCTGCAGGTAATTTGGGTCCAGGTAACTCTGTCAGCTCAAGGCTCCGCAGCTCGTGCAGGAGCAGCGAGGCACGCTGCTGCCCCGCTTCGAGCCCTCCTCCGAGGGAGAAAGCGAGCGGCTGGGTTACCTGCCAGCCCCCACCTCTGCTGTGGGCTCTGCTCAATCTGAGAAGAAACTCAGACACTTGCAAGTGCAACTCCTGGGATGGCGTTCAAGGAGCAAACTGGCCCTCTTTGGCTTTTAGGAAGGGTCTGGTCTTAGGAAAAGCACTGAAGCTTTGGTTGTGAATAGCACCATACGCTGGAGTGACTCAGGAGCACCTAAAAGGGAGCCTGGCCGCCTATCAAGGATTTTCATTAGTAAATAAATTTGCCACATGACAGCTTGGACATCAGTGCTGGGAGGTCTAGGTAGCACCAAGAACAGGAGAACCGATGGACTAAGAAAGCATCTTACTCTCTACCTGTAGGAACACCAGGCCCACTAAACCTTAGAAACCGTGACAGCAAGTTGAGTGCAGAATTTACCCACTGCCACACTTGTGAATCGGCCCTTTCAAAGAGCGCTTGATGGAAATGGTGCCACTGAGCATCTACATGCAGCCGCAGGATGGCATTATCTGCATTTCTTCGCCATGCTCGGGTTACTTAAACATTTTTCCATCAATGCAATGTGGAGAGACATCTACAGCCAAAAAGTCTGAAGCCTTTTCACAGATACTGTATTTATCCATACACCAAGAAGTCAAACACAGGAAATTCAGAGCCTTTAGCCAAGGTAAGAAGTGAAGTTGAGGTGCACAAAGAGCCTTAACTCTGCCCCATGATGATACCAGAAGGAAATAAAAGTATCTGTAGCTACGCCTGATAAATCTAGTTCATCACTTAAGTGCCTTAATCAGGCATTTCATGGCATCACTTTAAGGCAAAATTGAGGCTGCCTGGCTGCATTTCTTACTTTCTGCCTGGATTTCTTTCAAGTATAACCTTAACTTATAATTCCTTGGTTTTGCAATTATTGCTGCAGGGATAAAACACGTTTCAAGGATGCATTTACCCACACATTACTAACACCACCTTCCCTTTACACTAGTTTATGCAGGAAACCCACACAGTGCCCTTTGGAGCTACAGAGCACCTTCAACAAACAATTCTCCCAGCACGCTGTGGAGGTGAGCAGGTAACACCTCTCACATGCAGAGAGAAGCGAAACGAATCGCCCAAGGCCACGCACATTCACAGCTCAGCCAGGGCTTGGAAGCATTCTCCAACTGTGCAGCTTCACCTGTGCTAGCGCCTAAACCGCCTTTTTCTCCCATCCTTTCACTTCTGCAAGCTCTTTCACAAAAACACAAGATTTTTCGTGTCCACAACTTGGTCTGTTCCAAACATTAACTCTGTCATTTGCCTGAAGCTGGTAACCCAGGAAATTAAATTTTAAAAAAATGCCGCAGGTATTTTTTACTAGTACAAGGCTGGTATCAGCCTTGCAGTGAAAAATCTAGTGACAAAACTACCCAGACCTCTCAAGATGAAAAAAACTAGGGGCTTCTTTCATTTCCAAGACTCTGCTACAGGACTGTCTGTCCAGTCATGAAGGCCAGACAAGGCTATCATTTTCTCTTGCAACGCCTCATGCCTGCATCCAACTACCCTTTTTCTCCCTTTATACTCCAGATCAGCCTTCTTTGGGGTACAGACCATATTTGTTTACAATTTGCACAGCACCTAGTTGAGTGAAAACTCTCTGATACCTAGATACTAAGCAAGCAAAAAATGTATATATTCATTTGAAGTCTACCTTTTTGTTTTGGTTTGGGGTTTTTTTGAACTTTCACAACTGTCTAACTCCCCATAAAGGAAAGCAGTGAAGTTCCTGAGCATCCCATCTGCCTCGCTTATATGGCTGATTTTGCAGCTGGTTTTGACTGGCAGCTAGCAGGAGAAAGGCTTCCTGCTCTTTCTGAACCAAACCGAGCAATCCCCAGTTGCTCACAGGCTGACCAATGCCCCAGGGGTCACCAGTAGCACATCTCCTCCAGATAAGACCCTCTGTCAAATATGAATCAATTGTAAAATAATAACCTGTTGGTAGCCATGAAATAGGAAGTTTGGGCCAAGTCCTTGCTGGCTGAAAGAGAAAAGGAAAAAGCAGGGCATTAGTCTGCATATCCTGACAAACGTTATTCCATTTTAGTGCAAGAACTAGGGGCCTCTCACCACCACACACAAAATAAGAGCGCCAGCACAGTTCGACTAACTCTACACCACAGCTAGAAGGATTTTAGAAATTACTGTACATAGAGAGCTTTGCGTGGTTAAAAAAAACACGACATCGTGTCAGCAATTTGCAACTGCCTCTATTTTGACATTCGTTACGGTTATTATTAAGGAGACTGACTGCAAGCAAGTTCTCAGGCAATCCCAGCTAAACACTACAACATATTTTCACAGCTCTTCTCTATCAGGCTGAGGTTACGCCGAGGAGAAGCCGCAAGCACCTGACGTCTGACATCGCTTACCTCGCACTAGTTGTGTGCACTTCACCACGTGGGTATGGGGGTGGTCAATAGTGATCTCAAAACCTGGAAGAACACAGACATATGGCCATCAGAAAAACAGCAGCACACCCCCACGGATCTACGAACCTCACGTTTCCTGCTCCTGGGGGACAAGGCCTTCTCCCCTTCCCTCCTACAGCCCCTGCTCTCTGCTCAGAGGCAAGCAGGAATAGAGGAGCCCGTTTTCCTGTATCCAGAAGACTCAAGTTCTCCAGTCACAAAACCCGAAGGTCACTGCTGCTGCCAGACCTCCAAGCAGCTAAATGACTTCTGCGCTTGAAAGACCTCACTGAAAACAAAACAACTATTAAGGATTTTAAAAATAGCAGGACAAAGCCTCTTACAGCAGCTGGGAGGAAGGAGAAGACAATGGCATCTGCTCAAAGGAATTTCTGTCACCCAAAAAGCTAAGAGGAAGCAGACGTTTTCCCTTTGAAGGAGCCTACAGCACTAAAAGACAACTGAACTTAATCCTCGCTTCAGTTTCCTATTCAGTTTGGGCATTATGTTTTAAAGGAAAAAAAAAAAATTCAAATCGGTCCATGTGTGCAACAGATTTGGTTCTTCCCATGCAGAACATTCTAGAAGAACTGGGACGTTAAAAAAGGCAACTGGAGAACCGAATCGTTGCAGAACTGGGGTCACAGTTTAGCCACTGGCTTGCCCATCGACACAACTGCCCCTCCTGTCCCCTTGCGAGTGAGGGACTAGTGACATTTACTCTGAACCAGGTCAGAAATAACAAAGGCCTAATGAGTATTTTGGAGCAGAACGCTATCTACAAACTGCCTCTGAAATGGAACATACGTTAGTAAAAACAAGTTTTAACAGTACATTTCAGAAAGGAACAGGATACCGGATCCAACGGCCACAGCCCTAAATGTAGGCTCCAGCTTCTACTTTCAAAAAAGCCCAAAAACTGTTGCTGTTTTCTTTTTTTTTCCCCATGTTCAGCTATCTGATCAAAATATTAACTTTCAACCCAGGTTTTGTTAGACATCTCTCAGTGCAAACTGCTTCCTGGCCACAGGACTAGAGCATTATCGAGTTCAACAGCACAATGGAGGACAGCAACCGGTGTCCAAGCGGTACAAAACCTGTTGCGGGGGGAAAAAAAGAGACGAGCCACACTTCCACGCTTTAATTTCTCTGAGCATTGAATCTGACACAAGGTACACCTGAAAAAACTGATGTTAAAAGGAAAACAGAAGGAGTGGGTGTGAAAAATAGAGTTTGTTGCCTGGACTCTTGCTCTCCCACTGGCCAGCTGTACATCTGCCCTCCAGCTGTGGAGAAGACTGTGCGGTTAGGCTCTCCGCTCTGCGGAACACTCCTGGGTCTGGGATTCGTGTGGCAGCCCGTCCGCTTTGAAAAACTTACCCAGGGTCTGCAGTATTATGCTCTCTAGAATGACCAGGTCTTGGGCTTGTTGCAGGTAAGCCTGGGGTTGAGAGGACAGGCAAGTTACTCACGATGAGGCACTCCGTATAAAGCCTGCACATTTCTAACACCCTTTTCTCAGGGAGGCAAAAATAGCAAAGGGGAATCTTTATGCCAATCTGCACTGGGGGAACTGGCACAGATTCCCTGCCAGAAAAGAGAAAGCAGAGTGCTGGGGTGGACCCGCTCCCCTGCCAGTGCTTCTGCTAGGGGGTGGCTGCTTCGGGATCCACAGTGGCCCTCTCAGTCCTGGTCCCTCGCACTGCACAGGACAGCTATACGAGCAGTACAGGAGAGGAATTAGCTGCTTTTTTTTTTTCCTTAAGCTTTCCTGGATAAAGCTGCCCCTTTTCAGCAGGGTTGGCTGCTCAGTTCCAGGTAAGACGGGCTGTCTCGAGAGATGGGGAATCGGCAACGTTTTTAATAAACCCACCATTAAACGTGTGGGGACAGAACAGAACCAACTGCGCACACCACCTTCTGCTCTGCCACAGACACTACTCAATCGCAGCAGCCAACATCCATGCCCTCCTCAGAAGCTTTTCACGCAGACACTGTTACACAGCACATCTGAGTCACATTTGCAGCAGCACAGCAGAGGAGAACAGAAGAGAGGTTGCCACAGAGCAGGAAAGAAAAGCCTTCTGCTGTACAGAAGCCAAAAAGCTCTCAGTAGTGTAAGAGCAGTTGAATTGGAAAGCTGTCACTGACCATCCTAGGACACAGCCGCTCGCTTAGAGAGCGGGTACTGCTGAACCCGATTAACGAGATGCTGTAGCCACGCGATTCAGGATGCAGCACGCTTCCGCCATTCCCATTCCTCGTGCCTCCGCTCCTCACATCAGAGCCCAGTTCTCCAATCTCGACACTTACCTCACTCTTGGTGTCTAGAAGAGGTTCCAGGGGATGCAGACAGGCATGTGCTACCTTGATTACGTGCTCCAGCTTACGAGGCTGCTCCTCCACCTTGGCTGCCAAGAACAGAGCTGCTGGTACCACCGACTTCAGAGAAAAAAAAAAAATTTTTTTTTTTAAGTTAGTACGTTTCAGATTAAAGCAAATAAATTTGGCTAATTCTCACGTCTAAAACAAATATTCCTCTAGGAAACAAGTCCAAACACCAGCAGGAGGGTCTCTGGTGACTACCGACAGCTACGAACCACCCTTCCCCTTTCCAAGCCCCCTCCCCAGGGTCGGTCCCACCACGTCGCCCCCCAAGCTGGCTGCCAGGCAGCAGCAGGAGCAGAGCTGGGGGGTTCCCAGCACCCCCCACCCCGCCAGACCCCAGCACACTTACGTTCCTGTGGAACTGGGTGAAGGACTGCACCATATAGAAACGGTGCATATACACGATGGCCGTATTGATGGTGAGCTGGGAGCTGACGGGATGGTTAAGGAAACACAACAGCCCCGACCACGACCCCTGAGCAGCGCCCTCAACT